TGTGCTGAACAAATAGAAAGTCAGTGGGGTCTCTGACTGAGGCACTCTCCTTCCTGAGCTCAGAAGCCACCCTGGGGACGCCCATTCAGAGAAATCTGACTCTGCTGCACTCACCAGTGCCAAGTGATGAGGATGCTCCTTCAAGTACTTGTTTGGGTATTAAGGCTTCAGACCTCCTGTGAGTACATATCTTATTTGGGGAACTGGTGAGGTGATGGGGGCTTCCAGGGGACCTCTTCTTCTGTCCTGGGTTGGAGGCTTTTTCAGTGCCAATATATTTAACAAAATAGACCACATAGTGTGCTGGTGTAATGATGCTGTTATTTGGGAGACAGGGCCAGGGGAGAATCACCATCTCTACTACAGCCACTAAGATCTTATTACTGCCTCTTGTGTTTCTTTATGTTGTCTTTTTGAACAGTGGTCAATACCCAGAAGTTGCAACAGAGCCCTCAGTCTCTGGTAATCCAAGAAGGAGATGAACTCACCATCAGCTGCAATTCCTCAGAATCTTTATATGTCTTACACTGGTATTGGCAAGGGAATGATGGAGGCCCCATCTTCTTGGTGACATTACAGAAAGGTGGAGACAGGAAAAGTAATGACAAAATAACTGCCAAGCTGGATGAGAAAATGCAACGAAGTTCCCTGCATATTCGAGCCTCCCAGCCCAGTCACTCGGGCACTTACCTCTGTGGAACAGATGCACAGTGGTCTGCAGACCTCCACAGGCTGTCTCCAAACCTGCAGCTGGGCCACAGGGGCTCTGCTGACATAGGGCTCTGAGACAGAACTAGAACACTTGCAAAACAAGGCACATGAGGGTCCAATTGTCTCATCACATAAGAGTGGAGATGATGCAATGGGAAGCTATGTCTTTAACATTTACAATTACTTTTTCCTAGTAATGTTACTTTTTAGTGGGTAGAACCTTAAATTGAGGAAATTTACAAATATACAAATGGTACAAATTTCAGTGATTTAAACAATAATGTGGGTGCAAGCCTTCCACAGTCCAGCCTGGGTCCTCAAGATCTGGGATGGTGGGAAGGCATCCCTAGGCCCCCCAGACACCCAAAGGCACTGAGTGGGTGGGTCCGTTTATGATGAGCAGGCATGTGGTGGAGAAATGAGGGAGAAAGAGAAGCAGAATGGTTTGTGTGCTGTGGAAAGGGGCAGAATGGAGGAGGTAAAGACAGCAGTGAGAAGTAGGTTGATGGGAGATGCTTTCTTGCCTTTATCCCCATATCCATAGTGACTCCCAGGCCTGGGATGCTACCAAGGAACATGTCTGGGCCCAAGGGTCTGTGTAGCCATTCATGGCCCATGTTGCCACCAAAGGGCAAAGGATTCCCAGTGTCTGAGCTATCCCTGGTGGCCATGCAGGTGTCCAACCCTTACCACCACCAGAGCCATGATGATCTTGGTGGCCTGTGCTGCCATCTGAAACCATGGTGTCGTCAGATCCAAGTTTCTGCCAAGGGCCATGGATGGGTCTATGGCTCCAGCATCTAGGGTCTGAGTCTGTATCTGTGGCTTGTGCTGCTACCCAGTGCCATGATGACCTCTAGGCCAGAGCTACAGCTGAGGGCTGTGTCTGGGTCCATGGTTTTACTGCAGCTAGGGTCAGTGTTGATGTCAGAGATTCCTATCACCCGAAAGCCACATGGATGTCTGAGATATGGGGTCAAATGAGAGTCTCAGGGTCACACTACTACTGGATCCATACCGATCTGGATGGCCTACAGTGCCACCTGTGGCAATGGTGACATTCATACCCGGCTGCTGCCAAGGATCAGGTCTGGGTCCATGTTCCTACCACAACCAGAGTCGTGTTGCCACCAAAAGTTACATGGAAAACTGGGGTTGGGACCACAACCTGGGCCTTGTTGGTGTCTAGGACTTGTGCCACTACCAGAGCCATCCTGATCTGAGTGGCCTGCGCTTCTACCCAGAGCCAGGATGTCATCCATACTCAAGCTGCTGCCATAGGCCTTGTCTGGCTCTGTGGTCCTGTTGCAGCTGGGGTCTGTATTGAGGGAGCCATGGGAACCATGATTCCATCAGAGGACCATGCTGAGCCAGCCCTGTCCTTCAGTAGCCCTAAGATGCCTGGCCCTGCCCCACTAAACGCTGCCCCATGAGAGCTTACCTGAAGCTTCATGAGACAGCTGGCCCCTGCACTCAGGAGAGATGACCCATCCCTCACCACAGGCAGTGAAGAGCTGATCCTGATGGCATGGGCATAGGGGAGATGGTTCTACCCCCGTAGCCTGGACCAGCTCAACTACCACCCAGACCCACACTCAGTTATGACATTGGCCCACCCTAACATTTACGCCATCTAGGACCTGCTGGAGCTTGTGAAGAGACTGGTCCTGGGTAATGATAACCACAGAGACTCCATGACTCGGTACAGCTGTGGAAGATCTGAGAGGAATTTCCATGAGGATCCAGTGAGGACGGTGTACCAGACCCCAGAGGCCTTGAACCAGACCAGTGACTCATTGCAATGTACTTACTTAGCACAGCTGATTGGACAAAGGGCACTGGGTGCCACACCGGCTCCCACGGCCACCAGCACAGATGAAGAGGTGTTGGAGAGGTGAGAATGGTGGAGAAGCTAAGAGGTCTGCTGTTGCTGCTATTGCTTTGTTTCTGTTTCTTGTTTTTTCTCTTTGTGGTTATTGGTTTGCTTGCTTGCTTTGTTTTGATTTCTTTTTAAATTTTTGTTGGGGGGGACTGTTGAACAGGGAGGGGATATGGAGAGACTGAGAGGTGAGCAGCATTGGGGTACATGATCTGAAATTCCCAAAGATTCAATAAAGAAATTATGTTGAAAAGAAAAAAAATAATGCACAAATCTCATGCCTCATTGTTCTGAGAAACATGTTTCCCTCCTGTTATTTACCTACCTAACTCCACGCCATTCCCTGAGCCTCCGGGAGCAAATTAAGACTGAAGGCCTTTGTGGGCATATGAATACTGTCTCATCACTCTTGGCAAAGCAATACTGTTGGACACAAGCGTCATTGCAGGTTGCATATTCTTTCAACATTTATATTATAAATACAGAGATAAACTAACTGATAGACAGACAGAAGAATAGGGAACTAACCCAGTCTTAGCCTGGCCTCTAATTCTCATTGTGCTTTTGTTCACATTCTGTTCTCTGTGTTTCTCTGCACACACTGAACTGAAAGATCTTCACCCATTTTGCTTCAAAATGAAATAATCAACAGCTTACCTTTGTCTGCTCCTTCCACATGAGTTAAAGGATTGGCCCTGTTTCAAAGCATTGACTGAACACCTGCTCCAGGCAAAGATTGTAGGCTAGAGAGAAATAGTTCTTATACTTCTTGGAGACGCTAAAATGCTCAAGCAAGGGAAGAGCCAGTTCTTTTCTTACAGACTATGTGAGGGTCAACCACTAACTATAAATTTATAAGGTTCCATTTCCCCCTTATAAAACTGACACAATCATACTACTTTGCTCATATAGATCGTGTGTGTTAAGAGACTGATATATTGCCTACGCTTAGTAGTTAAAATATATTTTCTTTTTTGCCGTATAAAGGTTTACTGAGGGAGGGGAAAGGGGACAGGACCCGTCCTTGGCAGCCTCTTTCCTCAAGGTGCCAGTGCTTTACTCGGCTTCTCCGCTCCCTTTGGTGTAGATGTGCATCTCACCCACTTCATAAACTTGAACATCCACTTGACCTTGGACTCCTTGAACACACATCTGGAACCATACAGCTGTGCCTCAGCTTGCTGACTTTCTTATCACCCCTTGGCTCTTAGGCCCTAGGGCAACACAGAGCAGTGGCTGCTGTTCTTTGACGGCAACAGAGGCAGGAAGGGTCTAAAAATAATAATTCCACCATTAATAAAACAATAATAATCTCAAATTGGTCAAAATTCTCTGAATAAAATTTTCCTAAACTGATCAACATGTTTCAAATCTAATTGTGGGATTCTCTGTTCTTCAAATTTATAAAAGGAAATCAAATAATCTCCTGCTCTCAGAAATTGCCTGGTGATATGGCTTCTAAGAAAGTTATGCATAAAATGGAAACTATCCTTTATGTTGACTAAGGCCAGTGCGATTTAATACAGTATCTCTTTTGCATTTTGTTCATTTTAGTGATGATGTTTGTTGGTTTGGTTTAAGTTTTTTATTTTGTTTTAGAATGCTGTGGGTTGAACCCCAGCTTTACGTGTGCTGAGAAAATAAATGCTCTCCTACTGAAGTACAACTTCAGCTTGAATATTTTCTGTTTAGAAATAAAACTATGTTGCTACATTGAGAAGATGTCTCACTCAGTTTAAGTACTGTCCCCCATACGCATGACAACTTGACCAGCAGCATCCTGGTAAGAAGTCAAGGAGGCAGAGACAGTATGCCCTCTGGGGCTTCCTAGTGAGCCAAGTCAGTCTAATAGATTAGCCCTGGGTTCCAATAAGAAACTCTGTGTCCAAAAGTTGGATGAGTATCTCCTGAAGAACAATGCATGAGGTTGACCTCCTGCCTTCACACACTCACATGAACCTGAACACACATAAAAACACTTATATCCACATTCGAGCACACATACATTATAAACAGACTCAGAGCATACACACAGCATACAGTCAAACATTGTATACACACACATGCATATACATGCATCATACAGTTGCACAGAATACACACATAGACATCATACACACACATCATGCATCATACATACAGACAAACACATACACACACACATCATACACAAATATATGTGTACATAAACTAAAGTCTCTGTTTATATAGTGTTTCAGCCCTGACCATGCTTTGATTGAAAACAAAAAAAAAAGCTCATTAAAATAACCAGAAGAAAGAAAAAGTTAAAAAGTCTTCCAAAGAAAATTTTGGGAAGTATGGTAAAAGGAAAAATATAAAGGACAAAGGGCCATGATTTTCATAAAACTTATCCATACAAATACACATCTAGGGTGTACATATTTGCATTTTTGCCTAAAGTTTCATTTTTCTAATTGGGAAATAAAGATACTGCCTACAATAGAATGCCAGGAACACTAAATATTGCAAACACAGAGAGAAGTCATGACTGTTTAAAAATTACCCCACAATGTCCCAGAAGACTGGTAAGCCATGATCATCAAGAGGCAAGCATCGTTAAGTCCTTGCCAGTGTCAGCCTGTGATATTGGTCACACGTCATGTTCTGTGTGCTGATCTTCCTCTTGTTTCACCAGAAATAGTTTTCTGTTGGAGAAAAGCAGTCTGCAACTCGGCCTCTACTGACCTGACAAACTGGACAAGCTGAACCGTGGGTGTTTTGCTTTAACTCAGAGCAGCAGAAATTTCCATCAGGGACATGAGCACAGAACTACACTGCTTAGTGTGCCTGGAGCAATGACTAACTCCATCGGGGGCTCATGGGCTCCAGCATAGCTGAGACCCTTGGAGAACTGGGAAATGAAAACGGTGTGCGGTCAGGAGAAAAATAAAGTTATGTTGTGCTACATAAATATGTACAATAATTTGTTATAAATAAGGAATATTAAAAGTAAAAACTGATGTTTAAAGAGAAATTTACTGAATTTATCACTGGGATATCCACACTAAAAATAATTCCAAAGATATATTGAAAAATATCCCAGGAAGAAGTTGATGGCCAAAAAGAGGAATAAAAAAATAGAAAAACATCTAAAACAAAATATGAAGAGAGGATGAAAGAAAACAAATTTAAAAGTGTCATAAAAATATTCAAATAAATATCAAAGTAGATCTATCCATTTGCCAGCAAATTTC